GGGATACTTGATGAGATATGGATAAGTCGTATAGGTCATTAGAGATGACTCCCGACTTACATGTTAGTAGTGATTGATGAGATATGAGTACAGTCATATGGGTCACGTTAGGTGATTCTGGCTGATGTATCATTTTATATTGATTAAGTTCATTTGGCCTACTTGTTAATGCATTGTAGAGTCTATGAACATGGTATACTTGTGGTTTTGGCCATTTTTGAGCATAGGTGGATATATATATATGTGTGTTGTACTGCCCTATAGAAAACGATAAGGGAATTACAGTGAGGGGTTATTACTGATAGAAAGGTAATAGTTTTGGGAAGCTTGGTTTTACTGTTTACTCACACTTTTTGTTTTGTACCCCCTTCAGGTTTTAACTGCTGAGTTCGTATCGACGATGATTGATGTGATATATAATAGCACACAAATTAAACCCTCTTTTCGACAATTGTAGTATAGATATAAGTAGGGATCGTTCTTGGCTGGGGATTAGGAGAGATTGCTAATCTAATGAAAACTGACTCAAAGATACAAAAATATGCTTAAAAACACTTAAACAAACTCAAAGACTCTTAACTAAACTTATATGACTCAAAACAAACTCAAAAGACTCAAAACAACACAAAACAACCAAATAGACTCAAACTAGACTCTAGGATTCAATTTGGACGAAAATAGAATTGGTTTTGACTCAAAACACTTAAAAACACACAATAGCTCAGATTCTAACCTAATTGACACTTAAAACAAAGGGGGGTTTTGGTTTTGACGAATTTGAATTAAAACAAAACAGAAACTAAACTAGACAGAGTTATGAACGAATTTGGGTATATGGATGGGTGATTAGCTAGCTAAAGGGTCCTTCTCCACACATGACACACTTGCATACAAATTGATTTCCAGTTGCTTTTTCGATAAACCATAAACCTCAACACCCCAGATTAGCCGTGACATCACTAATTAACCCTCAGATTTTCCTTTAGTTATTGGATTGGATGACATCATTCGACAACCCAAAGCATTCTTCAAAAGTTCCCTACATGACATCATAATAGAGATACAATCAAAGATCATTACGTTCTATGAGAATCATAAGTTTTGACAAAGCACTTGTAACTATGACATCATGATACTCATGCTAGGAATTTACTTAACATGATTGTGAAAACAACCTTAACTACTAGTGAATATAAGTTTGTAACGATTATGTGAAACTCCCTTATATTCTAGCACCAAATTCAAGCATGCAAATTAAGTGTGCACCCTTAATCAACAAACAAGAATAAGTTATCCATCAAACGGTTAAGTAAATTGCATTCACAATTTATGAAATCACAACTGGAACTAATCAATTCATATTGCAAATATAATCATAGTTTCAAAGTCTCCCCTAGCTAAAACAAAATTAGTTCCTCATGTTTGCAACAAAACAAAGAGAATATAAATTAAACATTGAAAACAAAGATTGAATACACCTAGAAACGCTCCAACAATCCAAGTTTGAATGGCCAAACGTCCAAGGCTTCTCCTCTCTTTTTTCTCCTTCTTTGTTGCGGCACAAGGGTGTTTGGGTATGAATTATGGTGATGGATGGATAGTTTGGATGGTGGTAGAGGGTGGATGATGGCTGAATGAATGGAGAGAATGAGGAATAATTCGAATGGATGTGTATGGCTGTCTAGCATCTCCCATAAGTGCGGCAGATTATGTATATATAGAGGGAGAAAGGTTAAGGCAATAAGTAATTAATTTGGGAATGTATTAAGACTCCAAATCCTCCAAGAAAAGGGTAACAAATCAGAATTTTTAGAGGGAACAGGGAAGTAAAATAAGCAGCAAGGAATTGGGAAAAAGGAAAGGGAAAGCTGCGGCAATGATGTTTTAGAGAATGGGAATGTGATTTGCTGCAATAAAAAGGGAAATCTAGAAAAGATAGGTGCGGCATGGATTAGGAAGTAGGACTAAGTTTTCTAGACATATATTTAAGTGTCCTAAATTAATTAGGAACCCTTTTTGGCAGCTGAAACTTAGGTAGGAAAAGATTAGGAAAGTTAAGTCAAAATAAGGAAGTTTGACTCATGTTTACTTCTTTGTAGTTGATTCCTTTTCTTCCAAGTCTTGAATTAATTTCTTCCATCTTCTTAGCAGATTTCTAGACTCCTTTGGACTTCAATTTCGTCCATCCATATTGCTCCAAGCATGTGCAATACATTTAATGCCCAAAACTGCTCCAAAATGCACTTTCTTGCCACTTTAACCATTTGGACCTACAACCATACGAAAATAGCTTAAAATACTAAAATAACTATGAACTAACAACATAAATGTGAGGAATTAAACTAACAAAGTCGCATAAATATGCTCCTATCAAGGATATATGGCTAATCTTAGTATGGGTGGCTACTTTTAAGGGTATGATTCTTACCCACATTACTGTACTTTACTTATGCTCTGACATCACGTGTGAAATGGGTTTGCTCCCACTCGTAACACACTCTAGTATTTAGACACTGTTAGGTTCAAATTTATTCACATTTTATACACTATCACACTTTATGGCTTCGTCACCTTCCAGGTGTCGGCCAACACAGCTCGATTTGGGGTCCTAGTGGACATTTCGGGTCGGGGTGTGTCAAACTGATTGGAAAAAGAAGAAGCATGAGCAGTATGTATTCTAAATTCTTTATTAAATTTGTTACAACAAATCTAACATTATATATACTTTTAATATATAGGTGGCGCATGAAAAAGGCTGTAGAAGTATAAAACCTTCAACAACTCCTCACATCATACGTATTTGGAATTAAGTCCAACAAATTAGGTACAACACCATTTATTACCTATTTATTTTTAATGGCATTCTCTATTGTACAAATTAATTATCACAAATTATAAAATTAAAAAAAAATCTACAAATTAATTATCTCAAATTATAAAATTTAAAAAAAAAAAAATCTATTTATGGGTGCAGGAAAAAGATTAATAGTGACCAAACAACTTTCTAAATACGGTAACTCTTCTCTTATTTTCATACGGAAGTATACTATAAATTCAAATTGCATTCAATTTTCAAATAGAAATAAAATTGCATTTTTATCAGTTTTACAAGTATCACACCCGTTTCAAAGTACAAAGGTTGAAGTACAAGATTAAGGTAACATACCTTACTATTTAATTTTGTAGATATGATTACAATTTGTTACCTCAAACTTGACAAATTATTTATCTTTCAGTATTCGAAAAGTAACTGGAGTAAAAGTATTGCTATGGAAAAATTGTCAAAGTTAAAGGTATTTAGGTTAAATTGCTTACAACCTTTATATTTGGGATTGTGCATTATAGTGCATTATTCCCATCTTAATCAATTAGACTTCTTATTTTATCATCATTGCTTGCAGATTAACCATGAAAATCTGAAGCATCAAGTGCAAGCAAATGGGTGGCAAGCATGGCGGGAAGGACAAGAACGTGCATATGGAAGCATTTTGGCGGAAGCGGAGAGAAAATGAAAACCAAAATGTTAATGTAATATGAAGTTATTGTGGTTTTGGCATTCTTTAATTCCCTCCATTTACCTTACCTAACAGTTTATTTCAAATTTTTGGAGTTAATTTCAATTATACTGCACATTTGAGGTTTTTTTCTTATTACAACAATGTCTGCTTAATTTCAAAATGGTTTCTTAAATTTTTTGGCAATTGGCATTTGTACGTCACTTTAGGGTCGATTAAGTGCACAGTGATTGCTTAATTTCAATTGATTTTTTTTTAGTGTGATTTCTTTTAGCTTCCGTTTTCTCTTGGTTGTTTTTACTAAACATTTGGGTTTTTCAATTGCAGGATCATCCACAAATTTCTACAAGAAACAATTATGGAGAGATGGTTCAAATAAACAATTATATTGACAACTTTATATTGTAAAATACTACTCCTTATCACATGGATTAAGGTGTAAGTTGATGTTGTACTATGTTAGTAAATGTCACATATCTTCTCATTATTTGAAACTTCAATGCATTTCAAGATCCATAGTATCGAAGGGTTAGGACCATGCTTGTGAAGGTAATGTTAGAGAAGACAGATAAAAGACTCTCTGCATGCACAATTCATAAAACAGTTTCTTACGAAACAACAATGTTAAACATCAAGAAACATATAAAGCAAACCCCATCTTTAAGGGGCGCGTAGCGCCCGTGATTAAAATAAGGCCCTCTCGCATGCGCATGAGCGCGTGCAGAGAGACTACTTTTATAATAATGTTCATTAGGCTCTTATTTTAGATTATATAATACTTGAAAGACAAATATTTTTGTTTTTAATGTTTTAGAGTAATAGTTATGTGACAATGTAGTATGGATATACTAATTTAGTATTATGTTTTTTGGTCAAATTATGCTTTTCATTTTTATTATGTATTGATTAAAAATATATTTTCTTCAACGAGTAACGGGTCGGGGTATATTGGCTGATAATATAAATAGGTCGATTTTGAATCGGGTTATATTACTCGTTTACTTTAATGAGTGTTACACGATACGACATGTTAAGATATCGAGTATGACACGAAAATGTCATGAACAAAAAAAATACGACACAAATATTAGATCTAAATAGATTAAAAAAAATTTAGAAAATATAATGGTGGGAGATTGTGGTCCCAATTCAATCGGTCATACAGGTACCAACATTTCTGTCAAATCCAATCATTCAGTAAATATGATAACGATTGAATATTCTATTTATCCAAGATAATAAGTAAACAGTAAATAAATAAATAAATAAATAATTAGGAAAAAGGTAATTGCTTCCCTCCATATCTTATATCCGAACCAAATTCCCTCCTTCTTTCCTTTCCCTCGTTTTCTGCTCTCGCCCTCTCTCCTCCCTCCCGCTTTTTTATTTTTCCCAAACCCACCCACCACAACCACCACCACCACCACCGCCGCCAGATCTCACCATCTCACCCACCACTCGCCCCACCACCTCCTCAACTGTCCCTCCAATTTCAATTCCCTTTCCGTTTTCTTTCAATTCCCTCCCAATTCTCCCGATCCCGCCTTTTCTCTCTCACCCACTCCCGCCCCTCAAAAAAAAACCCTCAAAACCCACAATCGGGTCGGGTCGCTGGATGTCTGGCTCTCGGCCTCCGAACCTGCCGGTGCAACCGCTAGAACCGATCATGCAGCAGCCCCCGAAGCGGCAGCTCCCCTTCTCCTCCATGAAACCGCCGTTTTCAGCTGCTGCAGACTATCACGGCTTCCTTCCCGACCCCCGCCAATGCACTGATCAAGAAACCTACGGCATAACCGTCAAGCCCCCTGTGAGTTGTTGTCTTTTTATATATTTATTTTTTATTTATTTATGCATTTTTGGACTAGTTTGTTGGAGATCGGCTTAATTAGTGAGTGTGATTACTAATTAGGGGTTTTAGTTTGCTGAAATTAATGATTGGAACTAGTTCTAATGCTTTGGATTTGTTCAAATTGTTTGTTTTGACTGGGTTATCATGTTAGTAATTGGGATTTTAGGTGGAATTCTAAATGCTGTTAGTATGATTGCGGTTGGGGAATATCTAAGGCAGATTTTGTTGGAAAATGAAAAGGCGCATTCGGTTTTTTTTATAGTTATGTGTAAATAAAGATTAGGCAAGGGTGGTGATATTATGTTACAATCTACAAATTGCGATCCTATTATGCATTAACCCCTTTACTTTAACTAGTTGACTTGTGTTTCGTGACGAGTGCATCAATTTACTGTAAATCAAAGTTCTTGACATAACACTTATCGAGCATTTCTCAAGGAACCACTAAAGTGCTCCACTGACCCCATAAATCATGGTTGCTCATTTATTCCAAACACTATAAAATGTATTTTTGACACTGCTAAAAGCAATTCAAAAGACCTCCAAATGTATTTTTCATTTTTGCGTTGTATGTTTCCCCTTGATGCATTAAAACCAATGAACAAAAATGATAGCATTGGTAATTGAAGTAATGTCTGCTGCATACATGTATATATCTATACACACCCAAAAGTGAAAAAAGAAAACTTTAAAATCTGAGTGTCTCACTGGCTTTCTTGGATTTGGTATTTGTTAGACCAATCCCTCCAAACTATGATGAATGACGTTGCAAATGGCAGTGGATGACTGAATGAAATACTACATATCAACCTCTAAATTACCGTATGTTACTAATGTCCCCGTCTTTATCTGTCATAGCAACAGTAAGAACCATCAGTATTCAGGACCCTTGATCCTGTGGAATCATAACTGAACGTGTGGTTTTATCTACAATAGAAGATAGGATCGTTTGGGAACACTCACTCTCTCTCTCTCTCTGTTTCTTTTTGGTATCTGTTCCTCTCGGAGGCTTTTAAGTTAATTCTTCATGAAGGGCCCTGTACATATCTTGGGGCATGCTTCTTAAGGATACCGATACAGTTAAATTCTTGTTGTTGCACTGGTTGTTTGTCTCATGATTCTTTTTATTTTTTTTACTTATGATCAACCTCTGTATTTACTGCATTCGAGTGTGAACAGCACGTACAAAAGTTATTCAAAAAATAAAGTTTGCGTGTTTCTTGATATGGGGTGTATATCATAATTAGTAATTATTTATTTTTCATGAAGCCTTCTTGGCCCGACTTACCTTCTGGGAGTTGCCTTTCAATGCGAGTGGTTATACTGCTTAGGATTTTGTGTGTTCTGCATTACTTATGCAGTATAGAAAATTTGGTTCTTACTACAAATTTTCGAATACCGTTGTTTTCTATAGAGGAAATTTGTAAAATGTAATTTATCGAAGATATGATTTAGGAAATAAGAGAATGAATAACAATTGGTTTTCCCTTAACGGCAATGGTGTTTATTTCTCTGCTGTGGTTATGTAGAGAATGCTCTAGAGATTAGACTGGATCTGTAGAACTTTGATTTTATGATTCCTTGAGTTTATAATTTGTGGTGCTGTCCCCTTGAAACTTAAGTTGTTTTAAATGTTTTGTTAGCCTCTAATGTAATTGCATGCTTGGAATAATCATTCTCTTCGTAGAATAGTGGCATTGTTTTCATGTTGTAATTATTTATGTGATATTGTTTGTTCATTGGTGCTAATTTTATGTTTTGGAAAAACTGAATGGTGGCTTAGCAGCTAAAAAGGAAGAGTGACGCAGTAGATTGCGAAGCTGAGTCTACCGATAGGACAACTGCTCCTGGATACACTGAAGTAGCTAACATCCCCCTCCAGACTCCTGTGGCAAACAAGGTTGGAAGGGCAAACAAAGCATCAAGGCTTACAAAGTGCAGCAAATCTGGACCGCAGACTCCAGCTTCCAATGTGGGTGAGTGTTACTAATAATAAATTTTGCCAAGCCACTTATTCCGAGGAAAATTTGAATTGACTTAGAAGAATGGATTAGTTGTTTGGTGAAGAATGAATTACTCGATGCTACAATAATTTACTAGAGTTGCTTAGTCTGTCACTAGCATTTAATCTGTATGATTGACAGGTTCTCCTTCTGGTGCTAATGTTACTCCGGCCGGTCCGTGTCGTTTTGACAGCTCCCTAGGTAACGAACAATTTACTATGTTTTTGTTAACTGATTTTCAGTTAGTTAATTAGGTTCTTCATGAGAAAATTAAGTTATAATTTTCATTAGTCGTTTGGTATTATAAGGAAATTCCCTATTGTCTCCATACAGGTCTCTTAACAAAGAAGTTTATCAATCTGATCAAACATGCGGAAGATGGTATTCTAGATCTCAATAAAGCTGCTGATACTTTGGAGGTGACTACTTGCCTTTCTGTTGTAATGTATCCTGTGTAAATATAGTCTGTTAATGACAAGTGTTCTTTTCCTTTAGGTCCAAAAGAGGCGGATATATGATATAACAAATGTTCTTGAAGGAATAGGTCTCATAGAAAAGAAGCTCAAAAATAGAATTCAGTGGAAGTAAGGGATTCTTAGCCTTGTTTCCTGAAATTAAACAGATTTTTTCTTTCCACTTTTTACTAAGCTGTAAAAATTCAATTATCCACTGTGCATTAGAAGTTACTTAAACTGAGTGATTGGTTGCTTAGGGGACTTGATGTCTCGAGGACAGGAGACGCGGATGAAAATTATCCTAGTTTACAGGTACGGGAAGAAGTGAATTTTTTTATTGGCATGCTCATACTTCAATGACTCAGTCTTGGGTCAACTTTTGACACTTTATCTTTGTTTGCTTAGTAGTACTCATGCTGTTTGTGTTTGTATTTGTGTTCATGTTTTTTTTCTCTTCTTTTTGGACATGTCAATCTCCAACCTCACCATCAAGGTTGATTCCAGATCTAAACAAAAGTATTAGTTTGTTGAAAAGGCTGCATTGACTTTGTAAGGAAGTTAATGGCCATATAAATCTGAATTCAACGGCCCTTTTAATGACTGTTTCGATTTTTTATGCAAATTGCTTTCCTTTTTTACATTCCAGCATGATATCATTACTCAACCTTGACATCAGTCACGTCAATGCAGTCCACACGTTTTTTACGGTTCCAAATTTTAGTGTAATCCATTTGAATATGAAGAATTGGCTGACGAAGCAGAGAATCCTGCTCTTGACTTTTATTGTTGTAGATTTCTGTTGGCATGTTTTTTTGATTCCCAAGTCCAGTGTAATGAATTCAAATATGAATGATTGATATGGCAAAGCAGGATTTGTGTTTGTGACTAGAAACAGTTTTGCTAGGATTTTGTTTAGTTGAGCTTGCTAGATTTCAGCCCACATCTGTCCAGTTCCAATTTGGTGTAATGTATTTTAATTTAATGACTGGCATGAAAGGGCAAGATTTGTTTTCTTGACTGGAAAAAGTTTTCCAAAGCTTTTGGTTGGTGTGCTTGTTAATTACTGTAATGGTGTTGGTGGATAAGATTCGAGTTGTTGGGTCATACATCAAATCTTCCAACTGTTCATTGAAAGTAGTAGCAAAAATAATTTTTGCGTATCTCTGAAGTAAAGATATGGCCTCATTCACAGTATTTTATAATTGGTCTCAGGCACAAGTTGAAGGCCTATCTACCGAGGAGCGCAGATTAGATCAGCAAATAAGGTTACTTAGCTGATGTTGCTTTTTCTTCTATTATTATTAATTTTATTATTTCTATTGCTTTTATTACTTTTAGTGTTATTATTATTCTGTTGTTGTTGGTGAACTCTGGGTTGTACTGAGGCTATTAAATTGTCCAGAGAAATGCAAGAAAGGTTGAGGGACCTGAGCGACGATGAAAGCAATAAGAAGTAAAGTCTTATCCTTTTATGTTCACCAATATTCAGTTACTTTTCATGGAAGGTCAACCGTGGCTAGTTTCAACTGTCCAGTCTAATGCAATCCATGCACACACTTATCTCAATTTGCCTTTTTCCTTTGGTAGATGGCTTTTTGTCACTGAAGAAGATATTAAGGGCTTACCTTCCTTGCAGGTAAAATTTTGTTGTTTGCTATTCTCATCAATGCAACTGACATTGTTCCACATTCTGTATTTTTTAACAAAACGTTCTCATTTGTGCTGTTAAACTGAATCTACAATTTATTTTTTCTGTCAGAATGAAACCTTAATAGCAATTAAAGCTCCACACGGCACCACTCTTGAAGTCCCAGATCCTGATGAGGTAGAGTTCAGGACAAAATGGTACATAAAATTTCTCTACTCGCTTGCATATCATTATTATTCAATCAAACTTTTCTTTCATGTAATAGGCCGTTGACTATCCCCAAAGGAGATACAGGATGCTTTTGAGAAGCACAATGGGTCCTATAGATGTTTACCTTGTCAGGTATTGTTGCTTCATGGTCCATTATCATTACTTTATGAACACCAATGAATGTTTTCTCCTGCTTACAACGTTAAAAATTACAATGAATTTTAGTGATCTCTCTTGCTCTCTCATTGTAGTCAATTTGAGGAGAAGTTTGAGGAGATTAATGGTGTCGAAGTACCTACAAACATCCCTTCAACTTCATGGGCTAACGAAAACCCAGCTGCAACAATGGTTGCAGAGGATAGAGGGAAGGATGTTGAAATGCAGGTACCAGATGATCATAGAATGTCTGCTGATCCTACTGCTGCCCAGGACTTTACTAGTGGGATTATGAAGATTGTTCCCTCAGATGTTGATGTAAGTTTGGCTTCTTAATTGATTTTACCACTGCCTATTTGAAAGATGCAATATGCTACAAAAATTTCTTAAGCTCAATAAAATTTTACAAAATATGGCAACCAGAAATATCATTTACAATCAAGCGGCGCAACATGTTTAGATGACTTTTGCTGTACTGGCAAGAGAATAACTTTGACTTATAGGGTGTCAACTTTTTCGGTTACCTTTACAGAGTGATGCAGATTACTGGCTTTTATCAGATGCTGATATTAGTATCACAGACATATGGAGAACGGAACGTATCCTTATGCTGAAAGATGTTACATTTCTTTTCACTTAGTTTTCTTTGAGTTTATACTTGACTGGTAAAAAAAGTGAATACTGAATTTCTTGACAAAATCAACTACAGCTGGGGTTGTATGGAATGATTTGGGTGCACTTGATCAAGATTATCCGTTGGTTAATGCCAGCTCACCACGTCCCCAAACTCCACCGTCCAGCTTAATTGAAGTACCTTCCACTACCAGCAACCCTACAAAGACTTGAAGCCTGGAAGTGATTCGTTAAATGAATCTAATTGCTGATGCAGACTCGTTTTTTGGGAACCTATGATGACCAACCATCTCCTGTATTTGTTTCACCGTGGAGGTTGGGTTGAAGGTTCTGGAAGCTGCCCAAGTGTTCCAGGAAGATCCATCGAAGGACCAAGGAACAACGTAAAGGTAGGTGGAGGTAGCTGTTTTGTTGTACATTTATGTAATATACAAATCTCTGTGACGTAGCGGCAAATAAGAGGTTAAAATTGTTAGTACATCCTTGTATGTTATTAGAATCGGCAGGCTTTTGTTGGAGTAATCAGAGTGAAGAAGTCAAGAAAGTCTGAATATCGTCGAATAGAGAATATGTTAGTGTAATCGCCTCGTTCTGTTTTCAATCATACTGATGCCGAATTGCTTCATGACAGTTCGGTTTCAACTCAAGGGTATAGTCCCCTACTCTCTGTAAATTTAAGCTTTGAATTACTCAAGTGCAGCTTGTTCATGCGATGTTGATGATCACCAAAATCCAGGCAGTTGTTTTATATGATTATCATCCAAGTCACCAAAACATTCGATTCGAATGAATGAGCATGCCCAGGAGTTTGATTCGTGCCCTTTTCTAAACAAAAACGAAAACTAAAGAACTTGTACAGTTGATTTTACAAACGAGGGATTTAAGGGCGAAAATCTGGTTTATACAGTATGTAAACACAGGAGCTAATCCTCCTTCTCAACTTTCTTTCCGATCCATCGGGCGACAATGGGAGTGAGAGCTACTGTCGGAGGAAACCTAATTGGGGACGCGGCCTTGTGCGCAGCGTATGCCAAAGCAAACGTCCCAACCCTCTCTCCGGTCTCACTGCCGGAAATTCCCACCTAAAAAAAAACACGCAGAGAATGAAGGGACGTTCTTGGACATATATTACGTGACATATAAAACGAGTCAAGTTTGCGTTGAGTTGATACGATGATCGGTTGTACCTTTTGCAGCAAAGCCTGGACATCGACGCCGGCGCTGATGAGTGCATAACATAAGGAAAACGAGATTAAAGAGAGAATAATGGATGTGGCTAAGTATGCCCCTCCATATTTTGCTAGCAGCTTCTTGGCTTCATCTCCCTTTGACTTCTCTTCTCCTTCCTTTCCTTCCTCTCTTGAGCTGAATATCTGCATTTTCCCATGACATTATGGTTCAATCCAAAACTTCACCACTACTCAAACTAGCTTAAGATTGAATTGACGAAATATTATTTTACTTATTTTTCAACCTAATATATATAAAGCCGAACTAGCCATTAAGCTTAACCTCATCCCCTAACTATGGGCAAAGCCACTGAGGGACCAAAGTGGTTCCGGGCCCATTACGACCACTGTGTAATAAATTTTTAGCGGCATCAAGCCTGCAATTATAGAACCGTGAGATATGAGAAGAAGATGAACTATCCTCGTGAAGAAGTTGAGCCGAACGACGTCGTATCTTACATTTTTCTACTATTTTTGTTTGTTTTGTCTTTGTGGTTTAGTAAAACTCAGGGATAGGTTTTAAAATCAACTTTATTGTTATTTCTAAAGCAACTTAATCAACCATTATTCCCCCTTTTTTCTTTTATTTTTATTTTTATTTTTATTTTTATTTTTTCTGTCAAAGGATTCAAACCAGATTTCTTTGTATTTTCTTCTTATGATTCCAATTTTTTTAGGTTACCCTGCTCTCGACCTTGCACTTAGTTGTATTATACGCTTCTTTTAATTCTCTCCATTAAATTTAACGAGTGTTTCAGTTTTGTGATGATTATTTCAATTGCTCATGTTATGCGTTTGAAATTGTTTCTCAATGCATATGAAAGGGCCTCTCTCACGAAAAATTCTGGCTCTGCCACTGCCGTAACCCTTGTGTAGCCCCACCCCCCCTAAGAAAACACATGGGTCAGGTGGGTGAGCAGAAACAGACTCTATAAACTCATCATTCGAAACTTACTTTCCTTAAATTCGATTACATAACAATAGACAAGGAAACTTGAAGTCTATCAATAAGTATGACAGAAAATAAATTGGTAGGAGATGAATACCTTCCACAGACCGGCTTCGAGGCCGTACTTTTTAGTAACTTCGTCGGCTGAATCTGCAGATGGGGCTTTTGTTTCCTCGGTTTTCTCCTTGAGGGCTCTGACTCCGAAACGTTTCGAGTAAGATATGGACTTGGATGCTTGAACCGATGATGGACAGCAGCAAAATCTTGAACTTCCACTGTTGTTGAAGAAAGAAGCCGAGGGAAGACAAGGGGAGGCCAGAGCTGATGCCATTTTTCTGCCAACTAAAATTTAAAGTATTTTCTATCTAGTCAAACATCGTTCAGTGTTTAGTTATGTTTTGAGGAGGAAAAGAGATGGCTCAGAAATTTCTGAACAGGATGCAGGAAGCTTAATACATGAGGCTATAAGGCAGTACAAGTCGCTCTTTTTTTATCCCTTCACGATTTTGTCAATGCAGGCATTGGGGGATTGTGCAGTGGGCTTTAAACTTGTAGGCTTGCTTGAGAACCAAAACAAAAGACAGAGGGATAATGGATCTCATGGTGATGAGCCCATATGATCTTGGTCCATCTATCTGGGTGAAAAATTGAGATAAAATGGCAATGTCCCTGTGCTATGGAATTTATGGCCCTCTTTAGGCATATACAAAATTGGTCGTATGTGTTATGAATATTATTTAATATGCGATTGTGTAGGTTCTACATTGAAATCCAGCCCAGTTTTGGGCCTGGACTATGCCTGTGCCTCTGCTATCCTACACAGCCTATGTGGGGCTTTGGTCCATTTTGGACCATCAACGATTTGAGCGCCTGATTTCTTTTAGGCAATTGGGCTTATTCTTCGCCCCGTCTCTTCCTTGTTGGCCCGCAATCCAGCAACAAAAATTATCAATTTATAATTATTATAGTAGACCATGAAGGCTAGATCTGAAGGCCTGGATGCATTTATCTGTTGCATTTGTTGTACATGATCTTCATATGAAGGATATGCATGATGCACTGTAGATCGAGTACCTTGCTATAGAGGATCCACGAGCTTTATGGATCGCTTTGGCAAATCATGTTGATCACCAAAGAGATATATTCTTGACTTAAGTAAGACATGACTAGTAACATTACGTTTCCAAGACTTTAAGTTTGTGAATGAATACAATTATAAAGTTTGTCGAATCAAGTCACTACTGAAGCTCTGTAATGAGGACTTGACCGAACATGATCTCTTGGAGCATACCTATTACCTTCCATGCCACTAATATTGTCATGCATTAATAATATAGGGCAAATCAATTTACCAAATTTTCATATTTGATTTCTATCTTACTTTTTATTGAAAAACAGAGCCAGTTGTGATGCAAAATCACCATGCTAGACCTAATGACTCGACTGCTGTGCTTGAGTCGCCATTCCAGGCGTGTAGGCATGACAAAAGTCAAAAGATCAAGGTCGATAAAGTGAAGGCCAATTTAAGGAGGAAATAGGGCCCAAAAGCACCACAACCTTGCTCCCAAAACCTAAAACTTCAGAATAAAGGCAAAACACATAACACCATGGATACATATATGTGCTATAGATGTGGTTCGAAGAACGATGTATGTCAATCTCCCGCTACGGTCCTAGCTAAGTATCATTTATGTCGTCAAAAGTTTAAAACAAATTTTGCTCAAGTGGTGGAACCTAAAGATATGAAGATAGTGGTTTCTTACTTTCAGGAAGCATCAGCTCTGCTTGAAAAATAGATTCTTAGACATTGGTTTAAATACACCATTTGGGCCGAATTCACCATGTTGGTCGAACCCCCTTTTAATTTATTGGTTTAAGTTTGGAATAACTTGATTTATTTCGACTATTTGTTTAGTGTTTGTTTTAACTTTTGGATATTGAATTTATGGATTTTTTCTCAAATGATTAATTGAATGAATGAAAATTTTCAAATTTTCTAACACTTGCGACCAATTCAATTAATTTATAGGGTTAATTACAAAAAACTACCTCAAGTATGGGTCAAATGACACTTTCATACTTCATCTTTTAAAATTGACAATGTCATACCTCATCTTACGAATTTGTGTCAATGTTATACCTTCCGTTAGTTTGGCCGTTTATTCTCAGTTAAATGCTGACGTGGCTTGATCTGGGACCCATTTTTATTAAAAAATTAATAAAAACAAAAAAAATCATTTAATATTATTTAAATATTAAAATAATAAAAAAAATATTTAAAAAAAAAAAAAAAAAAAAAAAAAACCAACATCAATCTCCCTTCCCCCCCCCCTCTCTCCCTTCTCCCCATCTTCATCTTCTTCCCCTTTCTGCAACTACAACCCAGAAAAACAGAAGAGAAAAAAAAAAAAAAAAAAAACCAATTTGTTTTCCTTGCTCCTCACCCCCTCTTCTCCCCACACCCACGCACCCAACCTCCCCACCTTCGCACCCCAACCTCGCACCCACTATCTACAACCCCTAAAAAAAAAAAAAAAAAAAAAAACCCAGAAAAAAAAAACCCATTCTCCTGGGCGAGGAGAAAATGGGCGGCGGGGGTCCGGGGGGGGAGGGGGGGAGAGGGGGGGTGGGGGAATGGGTGTGGAGAGGAGAGGGTGGGTGTGAGGGGGGCGAACTGGGTTGCTGCTGTTTGTTTGTTTTTTTTTCTTCTTCTTCTTCTTCTGCATGGGATGAACTGGGGACTTTTTTTTTTTTTTTTTTTTTTTTTTTCTTCTTCTTCTTCTTCTTCTGCACGGGATGAATTGGGGACTTTTTTTTTTTTTTTTTCTTCTCTCTTCTTCTTCTTCCCTCTTCTTCTTCTTCTTCTTCTTCCCTCTTCTTCTTCTTCTTCTTCTTCTTCTTCTGCAGGGGGACGAACTGGGCTTTTTTTTTTTTTTTTTTTTTTTTCTTCTTTCTTCTTCTGCTTCCCTCTTCTTCTTCTTCTTCTTCTTCTTCTTCAGGGGGACGAACTGGGCTTTTTTTTTTTTTTTTTTTTTTTCTTCTCTCTTCTTCTGCTTCCCTCTTCTTCTTCTTCTTCTTCTTCTTCAGGGGACGAACTGGGCTTTTTTTTTTTTTTTTTTTTTTTTTTTTTTTCTTCTCTCTTCTTCTGCTTCCCTCTTCTTCTTCTTCTTCTTCTTCTTCTTCTTCAGGGGGACGAACTGGGCTTTTTTTTTTTTTTTTTTTTTTTTCTTCTTCTTCTTCTGCTTCCCTCTTCTTCTTCTTCTTCTTCTTCTTCTTCAGGGGGACGAACTGGGCTTTTTTTTTTTTTTTTTTTTTTTTTTTTCTTCTCTCTTCTTCTGCTTCCCTCTTCTTCTTCTTCTTCTTCTTCTTCAGGGGACGAACTGGGCTTTTTTTTTTTTTTTTTTTTTTTTTTTTTTTCTTCTCTCTTCTTCTGCTTCCCTCTTCTTCTTCTTCTTCTTCTTCTTCTTCTTCTGCGGGTTAGGTTGGGGGGGGGGTGGGGTTGGGTGGGAGTGGACGGGTTTGCTGCTGTTTTTTT